ATTTTTATTTGATCTAAGTTTTTATTTACGCTTCTTATATTAGTGTGTAGTATTTTAATGTCTAAGTTCGTATTTGTCAGTTTCGTGAGTTGTGAAATATTCTCAATAATTTGAGTTTCTATCGTTTCAACTTGAAAGTCTCGGAGATACTGATTCATTTTTGAGTATTATTATTCATAAATTACACTATATAAAGTAATAGCTAATAATAGTATTGATATTCACGAGTACATACATATGTATAAATCAATATACTCACATATTTACAATTTACATATATAGAGACGATTTGTATGTTTTCATATAGAATTACTTGCTGGTTTGTTGACGTGTGATAATGCGGGTGTTATGAATTGAACATTTATACGTTTTTTATATTTTTACTTATAAATATGTGCATACATATATATTTATATTTTAGGGACCTATTTTTATGTGTATTTGATGTATATTTACATGTTTATTCGTTTACATATTTATTATCAAATCTGCATTAACAGTTCAAAGTGTACATTAACTTTTGTTTTTTTTTATTGTGTCTAATTTGGATAATCATTTTATAAATATAAATTGACTTGTTCGATACCATGTAGTTGGTTTATTCAGCAATTTTGGAATGAACTTCGCTGCCACACGTTTCATTTCAAAAATTTCCAAAAAAATTGCATGTTTTGGGCCAACCAATATGCTGACATCCTCTTTAATTTCTCTAATAGTGATTCGACAATTCTCCATAACAATTTTCTTCACTTTCTCAACATTTTTATCGATTGTTTATGTGCTGAGGCGTCGTCATTCATATCTTCTCGACCTCCTGTGAAAAACTTGTACCACATGTAAGCAGGTCTGTATTTGACAAAAAAGTTGATGGTGACCATGTTGAAACGAAACGTTCAATCAGAGATTTATTGCTCGATGCAATAATACTTCCGTTCTCAATTTTTGATATTTTCTGGAACAACAGTTCTATTCGTAAAAAAACAAAAACAGCATTTTTAGTTTTCCCTATATAACTGGAAAACGGCGATAGTATCCGTGAAGATAACCGAATCTGATTGAGAAAAATCTCTCTGATTTAGTAAAATCTGTCAGATAACATCAGTCAGATGTTATCTGAGAGATTTTACTGAAAGGAGTAAAACGTAAAACTCAGGATTGAAAGTTTCATGAGGAGTTCATTGTTTTCAAAAAGTAATTGTCTGTTAATTCCAGAGAAATGCATCGATCATTCACCACACAATAATGTGTAGTTCAAATTTTAACATATGACGAGTCCAATATGAGTTATGAAAAATGAGAAATAAAACTGTCTATGTTTTTTTACTACTTTTATTTGTAACTAATGTTACTGCAGTTTTGTCATATAAGGACATGTTCAAACAATTGCAATGAACTCTTTTTGCTACTAATATGAGTTGCTTGAAATCTAAGGTACAAACTGATATAGAAATTGTTTGTTACGTTTAAAATGGATGAACTCGAAAACTACTGGACCGATTGTAAAATTATTAAAAACTATAGAAAGCAGCGATTATTATGGCTTATATTTTGTTTTCAGAAGTTAAAGACATTAACCCTTTCGAGCCTGTCGGTACACATGAGTACCGGCATGAATCATGCAAAGACTACAGGCAAATATTCATATTTCATATGGTTTCTATACGTACCGGTGCGTCTCCTACCGTCATATGTAACTGTGATGCGCGGAATTTTATTCCAGGTTATGTAGTAGTCGTTTATTTGAGCTCACGCTTGATAAATTTCGATTCTTACACCATTATACTGTTATGTGATACAATACTTTTATTTCAAAGGCCTCAGCTCAACCAATATGAAAGCATTTCAAAAAGTGCGGTACATCGTATATTTTCTAAAAATTTGAACACAAGAAAGCCGTGTGCAAGATGGGTGCCGCGTTTGCTCACACTCGAGCAAAAGCAGTGCTGTGAAGATGTTTCAATTGAGTGTTTGAGGCGAAGTTTCACAGCAGCAAAGCAGAATTCTCGCGTCGTTTCATAACCATGGATGAAAAAGGGTCCGTCACTGTACACCCGAGAAGAAAGAACAATAAAAAAGTGGACTCAACAGGGATAACTCCGAAGAAGGCGAAGATCGTTTTAACTGCAGGCTAGGTTGTGGCATCGGTTTTTTTGGATGCGCGTTGTAAAAAAATTCCATTGATTATCTGCAAAGGTAAAACTATCAACGGCGAGTATTATACAAACTTGTTGCAACGTTTGAGTGAAGAAATCAAACAAAAAAAGCTGCATTTGTTTTAGGAAAATGAGTTGTTTCATCACGACACGAATCTATTATCGAAATGACCAAAATTAAATTGAAGTTTGATTTGCTACCTCATGCACCCTATTCGCAGATTTAGCCCTCTTGGATTATTTTCTGTTCCTAAACTTGAAAAAATGGATCGGTGGTCAAAGATTTTTCAATGATGAATAAGTGATGTAGGCAATTGCTGGCTATTTTGAGGAGCAATACAGTACTAATAATGAAAATGGTATCGAACTTATTGAATGTCGCTGGGAAAAGTGTATAGAGCAGCAAGAAGATTATATTGAAAAATAAAAACACGGGTTGGACGATGGCAAATGAGAATCGATCGTTCAGCCTGCGACTTGAACCATCGACTCACACATCGGTCGATTGAGTGAGTGAACAAAGCACCCACGTCGAACCGCCCGGCGACCGTATTTTGAACTCACCTTTTTGTGTCATCTTATACTTCCTCTGATACAGGCCCCATATCTCACTATGCGCTAACAACATGTGATGTGCGCACAAATATTCAGAAGTACCGAGTGGAAACGTACTATCAACACGTGCAGCCAGATTTTGTGCTAGTACTACGCAGACACTATGCGGTTCGTTAATAGTTATCCAGGTTTTAACTCTGTCTCCATAGTGGAAAAATAAAGTGTCAGCGTAGTCTCTCATGTAAGTTATCATTTTTGGGTGATTCCATCCTCCCAAGATATCCAGGCTTCTCGGATGGTCCCAGTGATACATGGTGACCTAAAAAAACACTTCAAAACTGTAATAAAATGAATGTATCAACTGAAAAGCGTAACTAACATTCGTATTTTATTTAATTTATTGGAATCAAAGATATTCTCATATATCAGCCAGCGAATAAACATGACATCACCACGAAAGAAACAGTCTGACTCGCCGGGAAAATACTAGGCGAGTACAGAGACCACTAGATGAATCTAGAACGATCGTTACCGATAAATAAGCCCTGCTTCCCGTCCAGAGATGGGGTCTGTATTCAGAAAGCGAATCAAGCGGTTAAACAAAGAATTCGAACAGTGAAGATAAATTAAGCGTTAATTGTTAAGTGTTGATTATAAATTAGTTGTGATAGTGAAATATTGTTGAAAATAAATTTGTTTAAGACAGTTAATTCTTCAATTCGTTACACTATTTTTAAGTTTAAACAAAACAACGTTTGTATATCATCGGAATATTGTATTCGTTTGAAAGGCATAATGATGCCATAATGTGTGGAATATAACATCTTTCAAATGTCCGCTACGATTTCTCTGGGTGGAGCGCATCTAAAACGTCTAACTTTAAATGACTCTGGCGCATAAATCAGGCTGAATTTGAACGATGGCATGGGTTGAGTTGGCTTCGAGGACCGCTGTGGTTTGTGACTTATTCACATACACCTGCGACTCAAGAAAACTCCACAAGAAAAAGTCTAACGGGTTCAAATCGCACGATCTCGGTGGCCAGTTCACATCACCTCCACGTGAGATGATCATGCCGCTCGTGCAGAATATCCAATGTGACATAAGCTGTGTGGCAAGTAGCACCGTTCTGTATAAACCACATGTTGCTGATGTCCAGATCATCTAATTCAGGCCAAAAGAAGTTTGTAATTATCCACCTATCGTGCTCGCAGAATGATAGTGATGGCCTAGCCAACGCCGTTCTCAAAGAAATCCACAACACACAGTGATGTGGAATGAATTGGATGCTCTTGGATCTCATGTGGATTGGTATCATCCCAAAATTGACAATACTCATTCATTCAACGATGAGAAAACTTTTTTACCTAAAACACCTTATTATTCTGTTTTTAGGGTGCTAAATCCAAATATGACATTTATTAGGCCGTATCACCTGCCATTTTTTCACATTTGCACATCAATATATTGAATTTTTTTATTTATTACAGAATTTAACAGCTTTTATATACTGCAAATAAAATTGAAAAATAATTTGCGCTGGATGTAGAAGAGTTGGTAGCACTGCTGAAACACATTTACTGTCCAGAAAAAGGGGAATTATATTTTTCTGTTCACAGTTAATGTTTTGTTTACTGTCAACCTAACCTTACTTTATGGATTCCATGTGCTCATTACAATGTCTAATCGCGATTGTACGAACTCTGCTGACAGTTTGTTATATTCGTGATGAGTTTGTTATTGAAAAACAACAAAGAAACATTGTGAAAAAGGTTCATTTCTCATATTTCGGAATTAAACTTGGTGATCAGGATAAATCTTGAGCCCCGCATAAGGTATGCTATGTTTGTGTTGAAGATCTTAAAAAATGGCCAAAAAAGAAGAAAAAAGCCTTCAAGTACGCTGTTCCTTTTGTATGGAAAGACCCTACAATGATTGTAGTATTGATAGTATTGGCCATAACTCGAAGGTAATAAGCTATCAGCAAATCAGGAATAGCAGACCATGTTTGGACCCGTCAACACAATATCGAGTGGTCCCAAGCTGAGATGATACACAGAGAGGAACATTGGTTTAGGAGAAAATTCAAAGGAAGCCGCATACATGCTGTCCAACAATGTATTCAGCCAAGCTAGCGTAGAGATACGCAACATATGGAAACCCATCATCAAGCGAAAAATGGCCAACTCCCGCCAAACGGTCATCTCCCACTGAACCAGTGAAGCGGAAAAAATGGAAATCGGGGATAAGTGAAAGTACTTGAACGACCCATAAATAGTTATCTCTCGGAGGAATCAGTCCAGGCATCACCCCAAGACGATTGTAGATACTAACAATCGAAACGTCGTGAACTAACGTGGCTTGGAATCTCTTAACTTTTTATTTTATTTTCATTTATTTTCCTTTATTTTTTTTGTTCAATCGTTTTAATTTTACTTGTATTTTATTTCACTATTATTTCATTTAAGGTTACTTTTGATTAATGTAATTGTTATTTTCAGCTATTCCTTTTCAATTCTTCTTTTTTAGTTGTTTTTGGGATTTCAAATAATTTTATATATTAGACAATGGAAGTCCGAACTAGTAAAATTCATAATAAGCTACCCTAACTTAATTTTCGCCATCCGACCAGTAGGGGACGATGAAGATTTGCCGGTTCAGAACCTCCAGATGATTTGAATTCTGTTAAAACTGAAATGTTTTCTGATGTACTGTCAGATATAGATGAGCAAGATGGTGAAGGGTTCCAATGTTCTACAGTAAATATAAAGCCTAAACTGTTTACTCAGATTGAGATTAACGACTCAGTTAGGGAAGAGAAAGCAGCAGTTTTCGAAAATGTTTGAACAAGAAGGTAATTTAGTATACTGCTCAGACATTCCAGATCTGATCAAAGAGTTTGGTGTTGAATACAAAAAAGAAGACTGGAGGCTGTTTATTGATTCTTCCAAAACTAGTTAAAAACCTGTTTCATTACACAATAGTAACACTCATGTATCTATACCTGTTGTCCATTCTATACATATGAAAGAGACCTATGAACACTTAGAAATATTTTTGAATAAAACTGGCTATTTGGCTCATGGTTGGATGATATGTAGTGACTTGAAAGTAACATGCATGCTTTTTGTTCAGCAAGGCGGTTTTACCGAATTTCCATGTTTTTTGTGTAAATGGGTCAGTAGAGCAAGGTATCAACATTGGTACAGAAAAAACTGGCTTATGAGGGAGTCTTCAAAACTCGGCGAGAAGGACATTCTCCGCAAAAACCTTGTAGATCCTAGAAACAGTTTGTAAAGGTATTGCCTAAAGATGGGCCTTGTTTCAAGTATCTCTGTCAAAAATTTCCAAATCTTCCAGAGGCTAAACTTAAAGAAAGCGTCTTTGTAGGACCCGACATTCGAAAAATAATGTTCGACGTAAACCTTGAAACCACAATGACCATACATGAAAAAGAAGCAAGTTGTTACAAAATTGTTAGGTAACCTATGCAAAAGATCCAGAATATCGTACTATTGTAGCTAACATGTTAAAGAATTTTAAAAAACTAGGATATTTGATGAACCTGAAAGTCCGCTTCTTGAACAGTCATCTTGATTACTTCTCGGAAAATTTGGGAGATGTTGGTGAGGAGCAGGGTGAGCGTTTTCACCAAGATATTCAATTGATGGAAAAACGTTACCAGGGCCGCTGGAACATCAACATGATGGGAGACTACTGTTGGTCACTTCACCGTGAAGCTCAACAAGCGACTCTTCGCAGCTACACAAGAAACTTCAAAGAAAAAAAAAGAAAGGAAGTATGAACCAATTCCATCTGACTAGTGAAACATACATCACATTACTGTATCATTATTTCAGATAACCTACTGTAAATAAAAACCATGATTGTGATTCAACATGGTGTTTCATTAATTTCACCATACACCGTTCAGATTTTAAATTATATAAAGTCAAAAACACTAAGACCAGATTTGGATTCAGCACACAAAAATCAATAAAAATTTTCTATTAAAGTTTTCAAAAACATTTTTTTGTTGGCCTGTGTAATCCATCTCGCAAAGCAGTCTATTTTATTTAATCGAATTCCATCAACAAGAATTGTTTATTCAAATTTTCTCTTTTTTCTGTAATTCAATATACTATTTAGTAATCACTTCATCTACAGATAAAAAAACCTCTGAATAGAACTGAAAGTGCATCAGAAATACAAAAATCAGTATTTTTTTCTCGTATTCAATCGTAGCTCGTGACGGTTCGAAGGAAATTAGAGAACCACGAGGTAGCTGCATTCAGATGCTGATAGCAGGAAAAGAAAATTTATTATGAGTAAATCAATAATTGGGGCCAGGGCTGTCGCCATAGGGGGAGGGACGGGGGAGAGAAAAGAAAGGGAAAGATGATAAGAAAAAGGAAAGAACCCAACATACCTATACTTTGAAATTCTGAGTTGTTTGTTTGATAACACAAAAAAGTTCAATTTCTCCCAAGAAAGAAAACAGTCCACAAATTTTGAAGTGACAGTTTTACAAAATTCCCAACTTTTCGCTGTTTTTTCGACTTGGAAAAGTTGGGAAATTTAGGGCCGTTAAACAAAACAAACCATAAAATATAAAATGTAAACATTCGATGACTGGATTGACTGGTGACTTTTTCTTCTTCTTTTTTCTTATCCTATAATGACAGATGAAACTGATGCAAGAAGTTTCGTCTTTCTATTTTTTTCTCAATTTTGTTCTAAGTCATGTTATTTTCTACCCTTTTTTTTCACTTCTTCCATTCTGTCATTTATGTCAACGGTCAATATCAAGTAAAAAATGTCAAGATACGTTGACATCACTTACATAACACAACTATCGAATACCATCGATAGTCTAAAAATATAATCGATAGTGTTCGATAGTTGAAACTATCGATAAAATTATCGATAGCGCCATCGATAGTTCTCGACCCTTGATACAAAACATCTGAAGGAACAATTCGTTCATGCCTTCCCAACTCCCTACCCTGTAGGTTAATGGACTGACACCTATCAGAAAACAACTACTCTCCTGGCTAATACCTCGAAGAGCGTTGGATTATTTCCGACAGGTGTCAGTGCAGGATTCTTCACTGAAGTTATTCCTGCATATGCTGTTGACGATATAACTGCCGCAATATATTTTCAATTATCGGAACACACTTGCAGACCGGTTTCGAGCTGTTTGGCCATTGGTCAGTGCAAAGTAGTGTCTATCATCAACATAAGTCGATGATTTCCAATAACTGAAAATCGAATTCCTTCAGAGTATCATTCCTCGAACTAAGTTGAAGCGGACAA